TGCGACTCAAACGAGATGACATGGCCTTTCACCAGTGACACGTCTCGAAAGGGTTAAGCAACTTTACAAAGCATGTACTGTTAGTGGCCAAAACCCATTGTATCAAAATTTTTATGAATGTTGTTCTTTATTAAAATGCACTTTATATTTGCTAATTTTAATTAAAGCACATATTTTACAAGCATTTGACTGAAACAACCATGCCAATCTACTTTTAAAGCAAGATTTAAAAACTACAACCTGTAAACACTTCAAACATACATCAAGTCTCTCTATTTTATGCTCACATTAAGACTCATTTTGACTAATGCAATAGGTAAGTTTGAGGACATTAAATGATATTTCTGCTTCCAATATGTAAAAACCAGAAAAATATATGTTATAGAAACAAAACACCATGTAACTAAAGTCAGAAACCTTACCAGTGTAAATGAAAGCCTAAATGAAACATTCATGCAAATCTGCAAATGCATAGTATGGTTATGAAACACAGACATTTCACATGAAAATACACACAAATACACATAGCAATTAAAAAACAATGATGAATTACTTTTACACAAATAAACTTAAACTCTAAACAAACTTATCGATAAAATCATCCAGAAAAACAACGGATGATTAAACAAACAAATTTAAATATCTTTCATTTAAACAAAATAAACACTTTTATAAATAACAGTGTATACTAAATTCTTCTGTTTATCTTGCACGATGATCCCACGACGCTATCCCACCTTGCTGCCGGAAGATAGTGATTTCTTGTTTCTCAACAGCAGAACAACAAAATCACTAGTCTTCCAGACAGAGAGGCAAATGATATCCAGCTTGGACACTGAAAGTTTTGACTTCTGAATCTTGAACCACAGCTACTCCAAGTAATATTCTTATTTATCCTCTAATAACTACTGAAAATAATCAGTTGAGTAACACAGAGATATATGCAATACCAGAAACTTCTGAATGCGAGGTAAAATTTATATGAAAAAAAAAGGCACTCAGTATTCAATAAATCTGGTCTATATAACTTAATACTATGTTTAGGCCAAGACCATTTATTGTTTACATGATTAAGGTATGCAACTGCAGTAAGCATTAAAAGTTATGAATAAAAGAGATGAACATCAATATATATATATATATATATATATATTCTTAAAAAGTGTTAACAGAAAGTAACACTAAGGAACATGGCGGACCAAAAGCATGCATTTAATTCAATGACTGAATACTGCTATTAATGAGTTGTTTTTTTTCTAGGTGTACATTTATTTCAGAAGGGCAAAAGAAACTCCAGCTGATATTTTCTTTTGATCTGACTTCTAGATTCTTGGGCTAAGGCAGAAAAATTTAGTGTTCTTTTAAAATTACCTTTTCTGTATGAGAAATTTGGCCATTTGAATCTCTTGAGGGTTGCCAGAAATAGTGATGATACGCTCATTTGAACCTGGCTGACTGTCCTCAATGTTGATTTCTGCACCACAGTCTCTGCGAATTTGGCGGATACGCTGACCTCCTTTACCAATCACAGCTCCTGCCATCTAAAAGAATATATTTAAACATAAAAAATTTTTGTTTAGAGAAAAATTAAAAAGAACTTATTAAAAGTTAAATAAATTAAAACACAAAACCATGGCAAAGTATATTATACAATAAAACATGTATATTTCTATAATACCAAAAAATCTTTATTGAGAATGGTACTACAGTTTTTCATGATTTCCACAGATATTCTAATATTTATATCACTTTTATAATCAATCTGATTAGGTAATTGAACATTATACTAATTGATAGAATGAGCAGTGCCTGACACATGTTTAGCCAAAGCTGATTTATTACCTTTATTTATAGCATCTTTACGCTCATTAACTCTAAATCTGAAATTTCTGCATGTCTGACCAATGTACATTGTTGGTGTGAAAATACTCTAAGCATATGGTACACACATCCATATACAATTTGAAAAAGTATTCACATGTGAACTGGTACATCATGACAACTTTAACTTTTAACTTACTTATTAAAATACATTAGAAAATTTGTTAATGTTAGGATTAAATCCTCTATCAATGGCAATAAAGTTCTGTACATTAGTAATTAATCAGTTCAGTGCACAGTGTTTGTTTTTTAGCTTCCTAAAACTTCAGCATTTACTTCTTTCACATCATTAAAAGTTTGTTTCTACTTAATCAAATTTCTAGGTCACAGAGGAATAATAAAATACAAGAAATACTCACCTCTCTAGGAATATTGACTTTAGCTGAAGCAGTAACTTTGATATCCTGCAATAGATTTTATTAAGAAATACAATTTTGATTTGCAAAACAAGCTCTTAATCAGAGTAAACAGTGACAAATTATGTTGTGAACATTTTTTTTTTACAGATACAAAGATGTTATTGTTACAACATAATAAACAACAGTTATTAAACAATAAGAGCAGTAGCTATGTACAGATGCACATACATAAATAAAAGATAGACTGGTGCACAATGTATATTTCTACAGAACGATATACTGTTTTACTTTGAGCTGCTCCAAGTTACTCAAAACAAAGGTATTAGCAATGGATATACCTCACTCATCCATCCACTCTGACGGGGTGGTCCATCCATCCCACCAAAACCACCACGAGGAGCACCTCCATTTGCAACAGAAGGTGGTCGGAAGGGTAGAGGTGCAGGACCACGACGACTTGGTCCATCTCTGTATAGGTAACACATCTGTTAGTGATTATCTTTTTTATTTCATTCTTTTGCAAAATACCAACTATAGTATTTTAATCTCAAACCACTACATGTGGTCTCAAAAACAAAAAAATAATTTACATTCAAATACCTACTGTTTTTGTCATGTGAAATGCTTGTCTTCTATTTAATTCTAACAGTTATATTTGAGTTAAATATTCAAATACACACATACGAACAAGGAAGGCATTTTAAAACGAAATCTCAAAATATTATTTGCCAATTTACTTGTACAATTTTCAGAAAGATCACTACTTTGTTTGTATAAGAACAAATAAAAATGAAGGAGCATGCACAAAACCAACAAATCTAGATAAACCCAGAAATATCTATACACAGCTATCTCTACAGACATGTTAGTATGTGCTACATTTTACAGGTCTGCCAGAAGCATGGATAAGAATGGTGAATATGTGGAAGATTACAGTACATGAACAGCAAGATCATTTGCTGGAAGATACTGTTTAAAAGAATAATATATATATCTAAGAATAAGATAAAAGTTATGAAAGAAAATATAAAATTTTCTAAGTTTACTGCTAGTGGTGCATACATTTGTCATTACTTTTATAAAAAACAAATTCTTGAAAATAATCAAGGTTAAGAGTACTTTTTTTTTTACACTTCACGTAGTTTAAAAGAATATTTTTGTTTGAAGAAAAAGTTATTAAATTTACTTATTTAATAACTTTTTCCTATTTTGAACAAAGAAGGTTATCTTGTCTATATATGATGTTACACGTGACCAAACTTGTAATGCATAATAGAAAAAAAGAATCATACCCAAAACCATCTTCTCTTCCTCTCATTGGACCCCTCCATGGAGAACGATTAGCAAGACTTTGTCGCACTGGATGAATATCAGGTCCACGGTCCATGTCCCGCCAATCACGAGGAGATGGACCAATACCTCCAGGCCTGAATCCTCTATTATGAAAAAAAAGAAAAAATGAAGCGACTGCAGCAGAAACAAATTTTTAACTAATGAATTATTAAAACATAAAACTTATTCTTTTAAACAATATGAAAGCAAAATTGGCTTTAAAATATTTCTTAAAAGCATACAAAATTTGGAAATGATAAAGTTAGTTGGAGACACCAGCACCTAATAGTGTAGTGGCCTATAATTAGTTACATTGAGAATCACTGTAAAAACTGCATACTGCCTTTAGTCAAGGAATTAAATTAAGAGTACTTTAAAACTTTACCATATCTTATACAAAAGAAGTTTTTCTGACTACTGTCATAAATAATAACCCAGGTTCTGCATACAACACCACTATAAAGCTACTGTGTCTTATACAATATAACAGAATAATTACTATACAGATACAACATTTTATAAAATGAGGCCAGGCCACAGACATAACTAGAAATCCATGTTACTGTATCTAATAATATTAATGTCTGATCACTGTAAAATTAGCAGTACAAGTTCTGGATAAAACATTACAACAAAACTTGTTGTAATGAACTTGTTTTATGAAATAAAAGTTTGTCCACAGATATACTTAGAATACCAGGTTGTGGATACAACACTATTAATATTAATATCCAACTTTACAAAATATTATTAAACACAATATTTTATTTTCACCAATACAACTGATAATCCACATGTTGAATATTACACCAGAAAAATTTAACTATGTCCAAATATACAACAGCTGTTATTGTCCGTCACATAATCAAAAATCATGTTTCTATCTAAAATACTCTAGTAGTTTATAACTTCCTACACAAAACACTACCTGTTGCATGACCTGATGTAACTAGAAATTTAAAGTTTTTCAAACAGTACAAAGTCACATTTTCTACCACAATAGAATGCATCCTGACCTGCCAACTGGTGCTGATCTTCCCCGTCCTGGTTCACCATAACCACCATATTCTGGAGCAAACTCTTCATCATAGTTATGTGGATCATATGGTTGGTTAAAGCCTTTAATTGGTGTCTAAAGACAGAACAATTTAATCTCATGTGAACAATTAATCATTTTAAAATTAAATATGCATAAACCTCTGTACTAACCTTTCACAACTTACCTATCTACACATTTAAAACAAATATTTTTTCACTCTTCAGCTCAGGCAAAGACAATTAAAAGTGGTTTATGATGCATGCTTCTATATCAATAAATATTCTATAAATTATTTGCACCCACTTACCTAAATAAATGTCAAAATTGAAGAATCATCCAAAAATGGAAAAATTAAAATGGCACAAAGCTTGCTGTAATACTTCATTGTACATAACCAAAGATAGGTGAGGTCCAAGAATAAATATCAATATATATATGTGTGTGTGCGTGTAGTCAGATTTCTCTTAACATAATGTTAAACTAACTAAAAGAAACAATATGAGTTGCTAATACAGAATCACACAGATGTGGTGTAGATATCCAGGTATAAATAACTTCCCCTTTTTACTCTCACACATGCTGCATTCCCACTAGATATATAAGAAGTGATGATACATTATAATATATGCCTAGATGTTAATAAAAACATGAAGGTTTAATTACAGGAAACTAAATATTGTTAGTTTAGGAGTTGAATCAAAGTAATACTAGCATGAAATACCCGCTTCTTACAACACTTACTGTAAATAGATAGAAAAAAAATTGGGTGAAATCGGTAATTGTTTTGAAGTGCAACTTATGGGCATGTGCCATAATAAATTCTTTGTGTACACAGAGAGCACAATGTCTTGCCTGGGGGTCTTCCTAGTATGTTCACAGAAAACTATGGATACTTCATCTTTTCCAATTTTCATAATCACCCCCTTTTCTAACCATTCCTATCAAAACTTAGAAGACTTATGATTAGATGCTTTATAGTAAAATACATAAGTGTGATTTTACTGTATATCTCAATGTAACTTATGCATTTTGTTACTGTTTAGTCTTTGTGTATTTTATATTTGCAAGTACTTATGGTTTTTGTAATCATTGGAACTTGGTATTTTGCTTCTTAGCGGGATATTTTTTAATATATAATTTTACGTTCCTTAAAGGTCTTGGGTTAAAATATACCCTTCTTAATTACATTCCACACATTTTCCATTGATACTATGTATTAATTAGAATGTATAGAAAACTGTTTTCTTAGTGAGTGGATGGATTCAAAAAATATTTGTTACCTAAGTAAATATGCATGATTTTGAAAGAAAAAAGAAGTTACATTTGTGAACAGAAGGATTCATCAATGCATAATAATGAAAACACTGCTAATAGAAATTTTTTACCATAATGTATACCCAAAGGATGGTTATCAAATTAAAAGTCAATAAATCCCTGCACACTAGCTTGATAAAGTTTTAAGACACTGAGAATAAACTTGTTTAGTATATAACCTATGACTGAGATCATATCTAGGAATTTCCATGTTAAATGATAGACCATAAGAGATGCAAATAAGTCTTATTATGACAACAAATCAACTTTCTTACTGAGGTCAGGCGAACTGACCAACCTCGTAACCATTTTGTACTTGTTATAGTTTTCATACTATAACTTTCATTACATTTTGTGTACCTTCATAATATTTTGGCAGGCTTTTAGTAAACATTACAAATCTTTTGTTACACAAACATCTTATTTTTTAATAAAGTATTTTTACTAAAGATTTGTCTGTGAATACATATAGTATTTCTGTATACTAGTCTGACTACAAAGTGATTTCTATGTTAAAATTAAAAATACTTTTCTTTTGTCTCAAAAATATCAAATGTTACTTTTCATAATCTCTAAAACATCGTAGATAAATTTCAAAAGTTTTTATCTTATTTCTTTCTGGAATGACTTCAAAATAAAGAATACATATGAAAAACAAGATAAAAATATTTACATGGGTCATCATCTTTTCTTTTTGTCTTTTGCTGTCAACTGTCAATGACACTTAACCCGCCCCCTTTTTCATCTAATGGTAGTATTTAGTTAAACAATGCACCAAAGAATACAGAATAATAAGATGCTAATAGCAGACAACATTCCATAACTATCAAATTTTCTGGCTTTATAACTGTGTGATAAGAGCCATTAAAACTTCATCTAAACTGGTTGATGTGTTTCACATAGGAATCAAGCTTGAACTGAAAATTCTTTCCAGCAAACAATGTTTTATAATATGCCATTTGACATATGAAAATGTTGGCTTTCAATTGGTTATCAATAATGTAATACTGAACGTCAGAAAGAATGATTGGCAATTTCTGAAAGAGAAAATGTGACAGATGGGCACGGCAAGAGGGGACTGATTGTCTATTTCGTGGCACTGTAAGCAAATAAGATTGAAGGCTATGAAAATTATCCTTTGCCTGAGCAATGACATTATAATGAGTAATTTATGTTAATATTCATACTTTTTGAAGAGACGGTAAATAAATTAGAGAAGGGGGGGGATGTCTAGAAAGCAATTGTCATTTCTCACACTAGGGGAGATTCTAGATTTTTAAAAAATATTCCCTTATAAAAGTAAGAACTTATCCTTGTATACTGTTAAAATATGGATTATTAGCCACAATTTTATGTTACAATTATTGGTACACCGTGAAAAGAAAGTAGTTTAATTAAATTTTGAATGTAACTCACTAAAACTCTGTGACATACACGGATAAAGATGCCCATGGAGAAATGGTTAAAAGCAAAGTAATGACACAGTAGACAACATTTATTTCAGCAATTAATCATGTATTAATATATTAACAGCTGCTTCAGTTATCTTCAAACCTTCATTAAAAAAGAACAAATAAACAATTCAACCAGTGGTAAACACTGTTTGTAAGATTAATTCACTCCGTGAAAGAAAAGGAAAAACTCAGCTTACCTCACTGATTAGGTTAAAAATTTCCTTGATACATCTGACCACAACACTAGGTGTACCAGTCATTTGAACAATACGTTCAGTGGACATTGGACAGCAACTGGTATAAATTTTAACACTTGCTCCTGTTTTCTGGAATGTACAATACCAAGATGAATAAACTCGGAAACAACACAAAAACTTCCTTAAACATCAGAAAAATAAGTGATGCTTAAACAAAATACCTATAAAGGAATAAAAAAATGCAATTGATGACTAATAACAGCTTTTGTATGATTTAGAGCAAAACTAGTAATTTTTCATATTAGTATCTTAACAACTGCTTCAAAACGAATTGTAGTTTAACATATATATACAAACAAGCTCCACCCTAAAACTACTAAATTATCCACATAAAACTACTGATTGAAATTGTTTGTAATAGTTAAAAAAATAATACTTTTTATCTTTTCTACTATTTCTAATAAAATTGTATTATTTCATTTAGATATTTGCACCTGGACTCTGAATAGCTCATATTCAAGATGATTCTATATGAAGTATAAACATAGTATTCTTTACCTTACAGTTTTCACATTTCAGTTGCATAATCTCTAAACCTCATAAATGAATAAAGTTTTTTTTAAAGTAAATGTTTATATTTCATTTTCTTGACTATATCACTATCTATCTATTACCATCAACATATAGTGTAGTGAAATGTATTAAATTAACAAATAGAAATATGTACATACCTTTCAACTCTTTGCAGAAATTCACTAAAATAGTTGTGTTTTTCACATATGTGCAATTTTATGTCTCTCTTTTCACTTAGTTTATTTTTAATTTTCCTTTCAAATTTTGTCTTTATTTATGTCCATACGTCAACTGATCCCCATGGGCCCTTATGAAATTATTTCAGCAGACTCCGTGCAGAGAGCATTGCCACTTATACACACCATCTTGTTTATAGTTTTCACAATCCACATGACAAGTCAAACTTATAAAAATCATTAAACTGTTTAAATATGATTTTTAAAATGCAAATAATACATAAGTAACTAAAATATAGAAGCAAGACGATTGTAGGCAAATGCCCCCCCCCACCCCCCCCAGTCGTATCTTCTTATATCAATATTCATCCTGAATCCGATGACTGCTGGAGAACCAGCATCACCGGAATGGAAGAGGTATCAAGAACTGCCAAACACCGTAGAAGATTTTCAAAACTGCAACTTGGACTTTTTGAGAGAAATAGCTCATAACTTACAGTTTTAATGTACTTGCATTATATAACTTTCATAGTTCAACATTTTTATTTTGTTACAATAAACAAAATTTAACGCGAAACCTGTGTTACTGTCTACTACTTAAGCATGTACTTACATTACATAACTTTTCATAGTTCAACATTTATATTTTATTACAATAAACAAAATTTAACATGAAACCTGTGTAATTTTCTCCTACTTAAACAGTTTTATGTAATTCATTTTTCTATGAAATACAAGAAGCATGTGTTTTTCCCTATTTAATTCAGTTATATCAATATAACAAGATATGGCTGTGGGGGGCAGCTGTCAGTTACCAAGTAAAACCTAAATACAGGTTAACTGTTTCTCTAACTATACAATATTTAGGAAGAAACCACTAAGTGCTACAGTGGATCAAGCAGTTACATCAACTTTAATACAAAAACTGCAAGCCAAAATTTCAAATTAACCATTGGTGGAGCATAACGTAAACCGAGCTCTTTCTAATGACCATATACACTTGTGTCAACTAACTACATGTACGCTGTAGATCTCGCATCAAAGTACAGAAGGTGGGCATGGCACCTGTCAAAGGTTGGATAATTTACTTATCTTTCCTAGTGAATACAATTGTAAGACTTTGTATCTTAAGTGTTAAAAGGGCACATAAATCTAATCTGTCATCTAGACAATCATATAAATGGCAAGCTTATGTGATTACACTCAGCACCTGTTAAGGTGAAGATTTTTCATAGCATGAGGATCATGTGATAAGAAATCTGCAGTTTAAGTATATCCTTTAAATGTTTGTTTTGAAGTGAATTTAAAAATGGCACCATCATGACAGGGTTAAATTTGAATTTGCTGTAGTTTTTGAAAATATAAAATAAACATTAACAACCACTAAAAACACAATCTAATTCCTTAATTTGCTACAGAAAACCTTATTCTAAAAGACATTCAGAAAATATTTGGTGCAAATTCATTATTTTTGCATGAAGCTGTAACATATGCTCATGAATAATTCAACTTCATAATCTGATTACAATAAGTTCAGACAACATTTTTTCACTACTACTTCTGCTATCTGTTTAGACAGTTGTTCATTTTATTTTTATATTGTAATTTTAAATGGAAACAATTAAAGAACTCACCTCTCGTAGCTCCTTAATGCGAAAACCTGCTCGACCTATGACGCAGCCAGCATGACTCTGATGGAGAAGCATTCTAAGCTCGCATTCAAAGTTCATGGTTCGATGATGTGTATACTGAAAAAGAAACAAGTATTACAAGTTTCTGCATCTCAGAGGCTTAAGTTAAAACTTGTACCATATGAGAGCTCTACCATTTAAGCTAAAGGTTAATACACTAGCAATCACTAGTAAGGCACTTTTTAACAATCCAGATTACCACATTCAATCACAGGGCCTTTCCTATCCAAAGAGTGAAGTGCTCTACCGAATGAGCTAAAGGATTAACCTACCTACTAGTTAATGCTTGTTTTGAGTAACTAAAACTATCACAGTACAGTTAATTGCCAAATTTAAAAACAAAAGGCATCATTCATTCAAGAATAAAATTTTCTAGTCGTGATATAATAATAATAGACCATCAACACTAATTTTTACACAAATATACAATTGTGATTTTATCAATTAATGCCTTTACCACTGAAGCAATAATAAATTGACAACTGTTACATTTTAGTCCACATGAACTTTTAATTTCCCCACAAAAATTGGAATCATTTGAAACACAAGAAAACCATAAATTACAAAATCTTGACATAATTCTATGAGAAAGGGAAGGGATATGACAAAGATAAGCTATTCTCAATTAAAAATTACTTCATATGTATAAACATAAGATTCCTCAAAATTCAATAATTATAACTTTAATTAATCTCCAGCCACATCTACAATGTTGAAGTGATAGTTAAATTAGTGATTTTTAATTCTAATGTTATTCTTTGACTTCAAGAGAAAAATTTATGAAATACAAAGTTATACAATTACATTATTTATTTTATTGCCTACAAAATTAAAATGAGGAAATTGTATCTAATCCCTAGCTCAATTTAAATACATGCTTACTGGAAAGTAAAAGGCCATGCCCCTAGTGATTATTATCCACTGTTTATAGTTTTATTGTGTTTACTTTGGACTGATATATCTAAACATTTATAGTACAATTGAACATTGTTCTTGCTTTATTTTTAAACTCTTTCAACCACTGTAGAAAGAAAAGCTATGAGAAAAGATGCTAATGAATGCAGAAACTCAAAAGTTGCTTTGTATCAAGATGCTTGATGTGTTGGGAATGGGATAATTATTTACAATAGTAAGTGTGGTGTACTGCTTTGGTACAATTACATTTCTAATTACTTACATCTTCCAATTTTGGTATGATATCCAGGAGAATGTCCCCAACTGTATCTACATCAGCCACAATGGTCAAAATCCTAGAGAATGAAGTAGATTCAAGGTAAAAATCATACATTAAAAAATGTTAAGATTTTTTTTCTTGTTTGAAAATAATACATTTCAGATATTTTAGTATTTTGGAAACTCGTAAAGAATGAACATACCAAAACTATATACCAGGAACTGATTTTTGGCTATAAATTACTAGATCTTTCACAACATTAAGTACTGATTGTAGAAAACTCAATAAATATTAACATGATTTAATATTAGAAAATAAATAAAAATATGCAACTAAGTATACTTATTTTAATGATCAATCTTTTACTGATTATTTCATATAATAAAAATTTGTGACTTCTATCTGTTAAAGTATCCACAACACACCTGGATTAATTTGCCATCTGTCCACAGAATATTTTGAGGTGGTGAGGTGGTCACAAGGAATTTACAATTAATGTTTAAAGAGCCAGATAATATTAAAATTATCAGTACAAAACTTAACAACAGTAAATACTGTAATGAATAAGGAAGGGTAGTTATAAAAAATATGGTGACCAAACAGATTAATTTACTGCTAAAAACTGAAACTTTTACATTACAAATATTTGAAAGTCACTCTTTTTTTTCTATTACCCATCCCATTTAAAGAGAAATAAATTAAATAAAGCTGTCATTTACTACTGTGACAAGAGGGAGTACTTTCCCCAATGATCTACAGTGTATTTTTTTTAAATCTGGGTACTGTAAGAAGTTCCAACTATTCTTACTTTTTTTAATATTTTTGGGATTTAGTTAAAAACATAAAAAACATTTTTACATTGAAATTATATTAATAATGATAAACAAAAAATCATAATTAAGAAGGAATTCCTCTTTTTGCCATCTCACTTACTGGATGAGGGCCTTAAGGAAGAGTGAAACCATAACTATTTCATCTGTTCTTACTCATTAAAAAATAGGAGTGGGAGCCAATGGTGCATACCGTTCTGGGCCAGGGCAGTCGGGCACTGTAACACTTGCTTTGTACTGGAGGGCGTGAGAGCACGATCCGCAGGGGCAAGGAGTGGGGGTACGCAATTGTCCCGATCAATAATGACACCAAACGTTGGATCATTCCAGCATACCCATGATATCCCCAGAACACAAATAGGTGGGCAAGTTTTCCAGTGGCAAAATCATCCAGTGAGTGTTTCATCAGTTGGGCAAGGGCACATTTCAGAAAAAGGCAGTCAAGTCAATCGGCGGTGTAGAACAGGGCCGGGAAGTGACGGGGCATGGTAAGGGAGAGAGAGAGAGGGGAACAATGTTATTGAATATATCAAGGGCTCTAATACTACACTCAGCATTAGGGATTCATGCTCCAGTTCATTCTGTCTAGGTAAACAGACTGAAAACAATTGAAAATCACATTTCTTCAGGTAGAAAACAAAGAACAATACACCCAACTGCTTACAGATCATCGAACTCCAACATGTAAATATTATTAGTTCAATTAAAACTGTTTTACTTTATCATTTAACCAAGTTAGAATCTTGAAGCACCATCATCTGCTAAACATTCCCCCTCAAAGAAATTAAAATTCTGAAACTACAAAGATAAATTTAAGTATTACATAAATATTTGAAATGAACATAAAATTCATCAAAATAACTTCATGTTTGTAACATTTTAAAGTAAGTTGTATTTTATGTTTCTAATGGTATAATACTTGTTTAATATTTACATTAAATGTACACACAAGTGTTAACAATAAAAAACTTCAATGAAGTTATTTCCAGGAAAAGCAAGAGAAAATTCTAAAGACAGTAGCTTCTCACTTTCTTTCTATATTTATTGAGCTCTATAAAACAACTGTGGATTCAGAATTAAACACATATGTATTTAAAGAAAAAAAATTAAAAAATTGATAAAAATACATTTTCATTAATATTTTTTGCAATCTCTGCATCAACACTTCAAAATCTTATGATGTCTTAGCAAAAACTCATCTGTTTCTTTCTATTTTCAAATAAGGTAGTATTCAATATCCCCCCCAAAAAAATAGATAAACATGTCTTATGAAGTACTTTTTACACAAAGTGTTCTGATACAGTTTTACCTGCACCTTGTAGCTAAAAACTTAAAAAACAAAAAGATCTACACTTCACAAATAAGGTGGTAATATTATTTTGGTCATACATAAGTCTTTGTAAATTGTATGAACTTTACTTACTTGCTCAACTGGAAAAAGATTCTTAGTATCTATCTCCAAAAACAGAACAACATATTTATCATTCAAATCTAGATATTCATTAGCAACAAAAAATAATAAAGAAAAACATTTAATCAGAATAATAATTACAAAGCTTCAAAATATAAATTACCCGGTATTCCTACATTTATAAATTACATAAAAATCAAAACAACTGTCAATTTGAGGTATAATTAGAAGAAACATCACTATAAAAATCAGCTCAAAGGCTGAATAAATGCAAGATTTAAAAAAATAAAAATAAAATAATAATCCAAGAGAATAACCAGATGGGCAGTTTTATAAACAGATAATAAATTTTTAACACATTATGTAATTTAATTTACTCACGTCTTTTCTCAATCTGTTGATGTTACTGCCAGCTTTACCAATGATTGCTCCAGCATTCTGAAGATATAGATTTAAAGTTAAGAACTTGTTTTAATGAAACTGTCTTATTTCATAATATCTGTAAAATACTAAACAAGGAGGGCAGGAACTCTTCAAAAATCTCTTCAGTTCCCACAAATCCCATTTCTAGTTTAAGTGTTATTTTTATACCAAACCACAAAAAACAACTTGGTGTGTCTCCGTACAAGTATTCATACTTGTGGTCTGATAAACTAAAAACAATTATATATGTGAAGAAGCCCCAAAATCAACATTTTTTAGTTTTTGTAGCTTCTTCATCTACATTAGTTTTTTTTCACTCTGATGTCTCATAATTGGTTAGAGCCAAAATGCACATAAAAATATTGTCATTCTTGGTTGATTGTAGCCAGATAGAGAAGAACTCCAGTAAAGAATAATGGTTTTAGTGTAATCAATAATAATAAGCTGTTTAGATCATAAACCCTACTCCTGGGTCCAAGGTTCCTGGTAACAAAAGGAATCATGAATAAGTTTAAAAAACTTTGGTTTCAACAAGTACACCATGGATAAATTTTTAAGCTCAAAACCACTATATTGTATATTATTTCTGAATGCATAAATATATGTCAGCTGAATTCAGTTACTCTGCATACAACTGAGCCTTAAAAAACAACTTGTAATAATACTAATAAATTTTTAAACTAATCCTTCTCTGATGCATATGTCAACTGACCATATAACTATTCTACTAAATGCAACATTCCCCAATCTAGCATAATTAATTCCTACAACACAGTTACTTCTTACAATTTAAGCAAAAAAAAAAAGTGTATATGACTGATAACATTTTAACTGGCAAGAGGCCAAAGCAGGTAGATACATCTGGCTTCAATATACTCCCAAGCATATGTAAGGATTCAGAATGATTAAGACCTGATATAGAAGCTGACCCTATCCTTCTGGCTTTACGAGAAGAGGTTTTGAAAAATATCCAAAATCACACTTTATAAATACTCTTCAACATAACAGTTCTGAAAAAACTTGTTACAGAGATATATTTGCAGGCAACTGGATTATACTTTGCAATAACTGTAAAGCTAACAGCTAGCACTTAAAACTATCCTGTTGGTCAAGCAAATCTTAACAATTAAGTTATTTTAATGCAAAATTTTAATTTACTATATTTTAAGCTATCAGCTGAAAATTACTACAACCACTAAATAATTCAAATTAGGTCTGCAAAACAACATTAAGGAAATTAGGCTTCATTTTATTTAAATGGTTACAATAACATTAAAAACAAACTACAAAATTATAAGGCTTCTGCACAACTAAGTACTAGCCTAAGACTTGATTATTTAAAACAGAAAACATTTTAAGTTAAAGCTCTGCTGCTAACAGTACAACTTTCTATACTTATCAAAATTTAACTGACATTCTCAATATGACTGACTGAAAACATTAAAATCTACATTCAAAGTTAATTTGTTGCAACAATATAATACAACTTGTAAGTTCGCACAAAGAAAATACAAAAATTGAAAGTAATCAATCATTTCCAACTGAAACAAGTTTGTGATGGACAAGCTAGTTTTCTTAAACACTATTTTAAATTTCCAAAGAGCTTGCATAAGCATTATTTTTTAACACAGCACCTCTTACCTTGCTCTGTATTAAAAACCTTGCATCAATGGAAGGTCCAGTATTTTTTGGTCTTTTGGAGACCATCTCACTTTCCAATTCATCCTCTGAGGGTCTCTTCATTGAACCTATGGACAATGTTTTTAATATAACCAACATAGAATGTTTTTCAAAATAAATATATCTCTACACACAATTTCAAAACAATAAGTAGAATAATGAACAATATTACAAAAATGACATAATTCTGAAAACATTTGGTTATAACAAATATACCATGGCCTGCAAAAGATTAAGAAAATCAAAATTTTATGTATTTGTTAAGCTCAGACTTAATTTGTTTATCATTCTATCACATCACGTCATAAAAAGTAAAACTTGAAGATACTAAAAAATCAAACAAAATGTGTAAATGTATACTACCCAAACATAACAATTCACTTTAATAGGATATCTTTCTATTTCAAGTTAATAAAGGTAGAAATGTAAAAGATGGTGAACTTTAAGTTCTCAATGATCCAAGTGTTCGAAGGGAAAGGTTATTTCCTGATATGCATGTCAAAAACCCAGTAAAATTTTATACCCCCTTTATTGATATATCAGACACAAACTGTTTTATTATATAACATTTAAGAACAAAAAACTAAAGACTACAGTTACATCAGATGTCTCAGTGTGTGAAGTAAGGTCTAGTGAATATCGGAATAGTCGTGTGACAAAAAATGTACATAACTAAACTCACACTTATTAAGACACCTTTAACTGAACAAATACTACGCCAAATTTACTTAAACAATGACATGCCTCTAACTCTATATTATAAACTATTTTATTACAAAGTAAATTCACTTTCAGGATAGGGCCGGCTTTAGTTTACTCTAGGCTAATTTTTCATTGAACTAAAACTGAAGTATAGTACTACTGATGATCTGTATATCTTATAGTGGTTGTATTTTTCATGTTCCATATCAAGTTCATTTTAATTACACACAAACCTGTTCTGCTTGGAAAGAACATTAACATAGAAAACTTATGACTAAATGTGAATGATTTCAAGAACAAAATCTATTATGGTGCAAGGTATGTGTCTTAATAAGAACAGCAGTACATTAATGAATTTTAATTATTCCACTATTTGAGAAAATAAATTGTTTTCTTGCATTAGCATGATTTTAACTGTACATGTTTACTCTATAGAATTCAGGTAGGATAATTTTTCCTTGTACAATCAGAAGGTGACATACACTTCGTGCTACTTGCTTTTAAGAAAACAATTTATACATCACATATTGAAAAAAAAACAGATAACATGCCTGCAAGTGTTAATAAGTTGGTTCATTAAGGAATCAGCTTCTTGTTTTTGTATGAGAAGAACTTTATTTTATTTTACACATGAAAATTGAATGTATTACAGTAAAATAGAAATAACCAAGCACCATCATTTCAGTTTTTCAGTCCAGTGCTTATTACATCATTCCTAGATCTGTCCTTTTAAAAACTACTACACATTATCAGTTTTTACACAGCCATGATTAAGATAAAAAAATATAATGACAAAATTTGTAAAAGATGCACTGTTTAGAGCATATTCTCAAGCAGGAAAGAAAATATTTTCATCTATGATACAACTTCATTCACACCAAATCATGTCTAAAATTTTGTATTATTTACAAGACATGTAATAGTCTTCCTTTACCAAGATCGTTTAAGCCCTTACTATACACAAATATATTTTCTCTAAATACAGAACCCCCATTACACTTAAAATATTAATCCTTATGGTACTTTGATGTGTTAATTTTGGGTATATGTTAGAATTGTAAAATAATTCAAGCTTTAATATATACATATATTTCAAATGAAACTATAATTAAAATCAAAAGAAAGAACCTGAAAAATATCACCAAGTTAAATACATAATTCCAGTTTGATAGGAGTGCACTACTTTAAAGTCTTTTGAAGAATGCCACTTACAAAAATTAGAAATTACCTTACTAAACATGAACCAATATCCACACATCTTACTGTATCAATAAGAGTTTTACTATTAGGTTCACTGTCTTTTTTGCAGGCACACAGGTTTTAGGAGCACTACATTTTTAATTATACTGTCTGTGGGTATCTAACAGTTTAAAGCACAAAAACAAATATGAGACATTAAATATAAACTGCAAGAGATAATTGATGAAACTGTTTATGTAAATAGAGGTTGGGGGTGTATATAATTTCAAAGCTTTCAGAAGACAAACCTAAATGAGGTAAGAGAGGGGGGGGGGCAAAGTTAAACTATGATCTTTCAGGTGCAAATACTTAATTCAGTAGTCCAAGAGCTACAGACAACAACAAAAAATCTGTCATCTAGCAGCTCATATGCATAATTCTCCAAGCCCAATAGCTTAAAAAGTTGCCCAGATATTTTTTGAGTGACTAAAACATGAAGTGAATCCTCCAACAGGTAGTTAAGTCAGAAACTAACATTATAACTGTGACAATCAATCATGTTTTCATGTAAGTGTAACTTTTACTGACAAATTAATTATTTGTAAAAACATTTGTTATTCATATATCTTAATTATTCCATTATTATATAAATATTTGAAACTTTTGCAGAGGATCTAAAACCAGTTGATCCTTACCAATTTTAGGTTATAATGTTTAATATGTAGCACGTATTTATATTCATCTTTAGATTTACAGTATACTGCAAAATCCTTAAAAACTACAAAACATTAGTTTTCAATCCATTATTGGGGACTTAAACTAAGTTACTTGTACAAACAGTGCATACCACGAAGGTGGAATTCTTATACACACTTGCAGTGTGCATGAGAATAAACGTGTTTTTTTAAAACAAGAACATTTCTAACCATTCCCTGGTTAACTACTGAATCAATGTATAATGAGTTAAACGGCTAGAAATATTCTGTTATGTACATCCCTCGTTCTTATCGCTAGAATCCTAAAAGGTGTAAACATTTGAATAATTGATACTGTGTTCCTAAATTGCAACGAATATACAAGAAAAAAAAAAGTTTTTGTATCCTTACAGGAAGTCATATTTAATTTATTTTTTTCTAAGCACAACCGTTCGAAAAAGGGTCCAACATAATTAAACAAAGGCCTAAAAGTCAACGATAATCTCTAGCCTAACTAACGGGCAAATCAATATTCTTCGGGAAAAACTGTCTGACAGTAGACACGCAAAGCTTGCGTCACAAGTCATTCTAAATTCACCATCATATAAATTGCACAATATGTCGTTCTCGGAACTGCCCAAGTTCAGCAGACCTAGCATGCCGTACCTGGCGTCGACATCGATCAATAGTCACTTTCCACTGCTGTCGAAACAACTCCGTCACTAGGCAACGAACAGTCAAACAAAACGGAATGACAATGTTACCATGCTCAGCTACACGAATATTTGTTCATGAACATATCACTATTATTCAGGTTGCCACTAGCAACTTCTTATAAATATCCGAAAACACAAACGTCTATTACTACTAAAACTGTCATTTTCATAAAAATTACTAGGAAATTGTCCAAATAATACTGCATTCTTTAATACAAGAAATTTTATATAGCTTTAATATAACTGTTTAACAATAAAAGAAAGAAACTGTCTGCGATCAGATGAGTTTCCTTTTCATGTTATATTTGTTCAGACACACACACACACACACACATATAAACATCATTTTCCTCACTATTAAGAACGTTTTCCATCCTTTAGTTCTGTATGTGGCAGATTAATGTTTTAATAACGAAATATTTTAATAAATTAAAATTTTATATTTTTCCTGTACAGGTGCAACTTTAAAAAAAATTAATTTTTCATATATCCGCTGCTTACACACGAATACTTTCCTCACGAAACGGAAATTGGATTTTCAGAATCATGATCCATAAAACTGAGTCGCACTTTGGACTACAGAAAACGTTTTACAGCTTTAGGCCAATCTGACGTAAGAAATAGACGCTATTCTGAAATCTGGTAATCCACTACATGGAACACTTTTTGTAACGCCGGCCCAGCAATATCGATTATCAAACATATAGCCATAACTAGAAAGTACCTATTTAATCAGCAATTATTTTTGGCTTATAGTGTATTATACAAATAATAACAACAGTTCTTTTGGCGTTAAGAAAATATCAAGTTGTAATTTTCTTAAAAGCTCTACTTTTTATGGATTCACTAGACATGAATATGTACATACAAATTAAAGCTTAGTAAGTGGTATTAATATAAACATATCAACGTATATCATTACTTTATAAAAGTAAAACAATGAAATGGTCAAAGGCAACGCCGTTTTTATTGAAATTCTAGTACGAAGTTCATTATCTATACAGCTTTTTAGAGCACTAATAAGAGATACAATAGGTTTATTTGAGGACTAGGAAGAAAGACACTTTTGTGACAAATCATATTAGAAAAAAACTCTGACAATATATCTAAACACCTGTGTAAGCTTGACGATAAAACACGAGGTAATGGTCTTAAGTAATAGTATAAAAGTACAGAACGATGGGGAAATACACATGAACTTGTTATAATACACATTAATACTAAATATGAAAAAAAAAAAACGTCAAACTTTCATGTAACGTAAGACACATTATCATAAGTTACATTAAATCTTTTAATTGTTTTTGCATTCGAGACATAAACACAATGATATGCTTCAGGGTAAGAATGCTAGAAAATGATTGTAGCAATAGAAAAATATACAGAATAACCTTAAAAACTCCATTTTCAAAGGGGGTAAAAGCATGCTTGGGTAGTTTAATATTTTGGTTCAGTTACAGTATCTGACTACAAAGTTGATAAGCGAAATTTTGCACATAGGTGATACAATATTAAAAAAGAATGTGTTTCACCAGTTTAACCTGGAAACATCAGCTAAACTCGGATACTTTTTTGCTTTGCGAGAATGGCTGTATCTAAGAGCAAAGTTATGAGTACTCTTATAGTTTGACACAAAACCACACGTTCTATAAACCAGTCTACAGCATGAAACTTTCTTCCCTAAGTTTTTATTTAGTTCTAAGGAAAATTTGAATTCGAACAGGTTAAGTCACCTGTCGTTGGCTAATGTTAACTATGAATATATATATATATATATATACATCGTTATTTTATTGCTAAGCTCTTAACATTACGTTTTGACAACGATTCATTATTTCTTGAAATCGTTTAAAAGTTATAATACAACGCTAGTAGCACGCTGAACTGTGTTAAGTATGAGTTAGCATTACGTAGGATTTTATAATCATGTGGCAACAAAGCGTGTCGCATTTTTTGTTCTAGGCTTATGGTAAGCCATTGACTACAGACAGCTGAGGGTTTGTATTATCTGGACGAGTGTCTTAAATCTTCACCCCCCCCCCCTTCTCTCTCTGGAAGATCTTCGTTTCAGGTGAACTTACAACAACAACAACAAAGTATTTTATCACTAAGTTTCATGCTTGTTCTGACATTTGACCAAGTTTAACAACGTCCCAAATGAGCCAAAAGTATATTAATGTTCTCAGGTTTAAAAGATTTGTGAAGTAATAAAAGCTAGTTTTTATGCAATGTGAATAAATGTAACCTATACTGAAAAAAGTTGGTTGTAAATCTAACTATATTTTTTCTAACAAGAAGTGTATATTTCACATCCTGAAGGTAATGCTCATATTCAAGCTTTTAATAACTTACCTTCGTATTCGGTCATAGCAGTGTAGACAGATAAGTGGCTTTCTATTCCGACCCTTCAGGCTAGTCTACCTAACAGAAGACAGAGACATGGTCTGATTAGCTCTTACTGCACGCCAGACTCGACGTTACGCTTTATTCAGAATGAGCACCACTGCCGCACCGCTCAAGGTAAATACCACCAGGTAACAGCTTCAGAGGGTGGAGCTATTACACCAGAGACAATTTCATTGGCTAACTGCAACAGGTGAGGAGCTGCTGACATACTATATCGTATTATAAAGTACCTTAAACATCACTATGGCAACACAAAGTTTGAAACCAAAACAAATGGTGAACAGGATTGGGGCAGCTTGTTGCATTCCACCTGCAACTTTTAAACGTTACCTGGAACGCACGTATCTCGTAGTTAATGATCGCTATTAATCTATATCATTTATAAACCAACTAAGTTGGTTACAAAACAAAGTTTTCAGAAATATGATAATGCTTAACATTTTTTTTAAAAATTTAAACGAACTAAAAAAGAATTTAACAAAGTTCCATTGGTTTTTATACTATAAAAATCCTTACGAGAAATAATGAATCTACGTTTCATGACCAGTTTTAATAAGCATACTATGGAGAACAAACATTTGAAAAAAATAAATATAAAATGAGCCGTAAAGTATCATTTGCTAATTTATTTGGTCAACAATATGCAGTATTAAATGTATTGTACTTGCATATAAAAATACAACAAATCATACGTAGCTTTGCAATACGTAAAGATCTATACGGAGAAAAACACTACAAAACTATGACCTAAAAAATCAACACACGCGGTATATGATTTTAATTGATATAGCATCCAAGAAGCAATGGTTGTGCGGCTTTAACACAACCAATCCGTAAATGAACGTGTTAAGCTGTAAATAAATCGTAGTTAAAGCAATATAATAGCTACTAGTTCCATATTATACTTAACTTTGATAAACGCTCAATGATATAGTAAATACTTGGAGCTTTTCGGACATTCTTCATCTTCTCACACATAAAACCGATTACTCAAGCTTAATGAGCATAGTCTTACCGATCCCTTGGATGATAGGTAAACATTTAAATTACACGGTTTGACCATATATGCTCATTCATGTTTATCGTTGAACTTTAACAACGGGAAGATATCACTATACCATAAAAAATGACTTTGGTATGCATTATATATTTCTCTCATATAGCACTTTTCATGTTACAAAAATATGACATACATTTCGAAAAGCCTGGAATTTGTAAGCGTAGTAAATTAATGTTAGCCACATCAACTAGCAAGATAAACAAAGCCAAGTAACATCATCGGAGATAGTAAATAAAAATAAAAACGGTAGTTGATAAAATAGAGCAAATATTTTCAGTAGACACCGTGCGTCCCTAATATACGAATATACTTGTATCTTTCACTGGGGGAAAGGAACTTTTGGCCCAAAACAACGAGATCCAATTCATGGAAGTACAGCACCAAAACTATCTGTACATACCATTAGAAATACACGATCTAAATTTTCAAGTAAAAAAAGGATTTAGTTTTACATCGTTTCTTTGACTTTCATTTTCAACAAAATTCATCAATTAAAGTTCACTAAAATCTCAATGGATTACACCTGCATGGAAAGTCAGTCTTGTTGAGCCGTGTGGCTTGTTAAATTTCCAACCAGCATATAAATAAACAAAGTTGATTTCCTATTAACAATCCACTAATAAGGTAGCTTTCAGTTTTCTGCCGAGAGCGCGGGAATCGCTTGTTTACGGTTTTACGTCCCGCTTTGAAAACAGTATCGCGGAGACACGGTAGCGCGCCTGCCATTTTGACCTGTCAAATGAAAACTTTCACGAGTTCACCTATATTTTACCGAACGAGTGTTTCTGACGTGTATGTTTTAATAATACACATGACTACAATAATTTCACTTTTGACCAATCATCAGATGGTCAACATCCTGGAATCCTACTACATCCCAAACAAGGCTAAACTTTGTCTATGTATCCGTCAAGCTTTACCTCCATGAGGAGCAACCTGAAACGCCAACCAAACTGATCGTGGCAAGGTGCATGACTGTTTTTACATTCCTTTGTGTTGTTTATCCCTCATTATTTTAAGTTTACGCATAAACAAAAGTAAGAAAAGGATATGAGAATCTGTAGTGATGAGAAATAAAATACGTAAAAAGTTGCTGAACTAATATAACCCAAGTGAACCTCCGACCTATTACTTACGATATTAATATTAATTCGCTCACCCATGACATTCCGGGTTAAGCATAGCTAATTTACAAATGTCTAATACACCACACCTACGCGATTTACTTAATACTTCGCTTCACAAACATAAAAGGCGTTGTAAACCTGTAACAATAACTTGTTTAACACGGAAGAAACTAACAAAACAGCGGAAATATAATTCTGTTCCATCAACTACGTATACTTCTTCATTCACGATGACAATTTCAATATGAAAAACTATGTCTCAAAGGTGTCCCTCAATATTTCCAGTTTCTCTAATTTGATAAAAGGAAATGGACAAGAGTCCCTCAAACCGTAAAACATCACTATATAGTTTAACAAAATACTTGCTTAATATCACAGCAATGACTAGGTAAAAACTCCTACCGGAAAAAACACACAATTCATAGTTATGCAACTCTGGCATATGAGGATTGGTCAAGTGATATGAAATACAAATATAAGGGCGTTCAGTCTATGTTGTCATTTCGAAGTGAAACAAGTTTAACATGTACCAAATTGTTCACGAACCATTACTAAATTTTAAAGAAAACAGATGTTTTACTCATTTGAAAATCTGTTATGCTAATAAAAGCCAATCAGTCACATCAGGTTTTTTTTTGAGAATTGGTTGTTGGCAGCATTAGCGAAGAACTGTTTCCAAACCCATTGTACAATGATCGGACCATAATCCACAAGTAAATCGTCACAATCTGTCAGTTCCAGCTCGTTTCAATCATAAGAGTTCTGATTATGACACTAAATCAGATTTATTGTCAAAAGTATTTGTTTGAACTGTTTTAGAACGGTGATGTGGTCTCAATTTCTCAAGACTATCCCAAGGATTGTGTGCAAATTATAATAATTTTAGGGACACTAACTTTTAATTAAACGATTTTAGGGAACAGTTTGTTGTAAAATAGAGATGTGTGAAACTAGCTTTTAAAAAAGACTATTCTTATTTGAATTTGTATCTTCCTTACTTTATAAATTACAAATCTCAGCATTATGGAAGTTTTCAATTGTTCTTCTGCCCTGTAAAAATTGTTTTTATTATTTTAAGTGTTGAACGATGGTGAATAACAGTACACACATACAATGAAACTAACACCAAGTAATCTACGAGACATTTTTTTTTTACTTTTTATAAGCTATATGTTTGGGTGCCAACAATACCAAGTGTGAGGTACACGCATACCCGATTTGATTTTATTACTCATCAGGATCTCTTCCAGCCTACCCTAAAATTGAAATTCTTTTAGTCAGGATTAGAGTAAATTAATCTACAAGACCTTGGGTGTGGTCAAATCTCCAATCGAAAAGGCGTGACCTCCTGAGTCCAAAACTGTAATTAGATATTAAATCGGTCAAGATATGACAGAGCTACGAGCTAAAAGTTTGTACTTGAAAAAAAAAAAAAAAACTTAGCCGTTCTATGAGAGCGGCTAAAAAGTATTGGAGGAGGATGAGTTGTTGGACTGAAGGAATCGAAAATGTTAAATACTCAAGGTGTAGAGCATGGTAAATAGCAATACTTTTTGTTGTTTCATAGCGGTTTTACTTACTATTTAAAAAATTTTTCATTTTATCTGGTGCGTTACAATTTGCATAATATCGGTCTTAGAAAAGTCATTGACTGACATATATTCAAGTGATGGGTCGAATTTGTTTTAAAAACCAACTTTTTCCAACCCTACCTCTAACAAACAACTGTAGAAGTATGGTGTCAAATGATCGTATAAAATTAGTTGTGTAAGAGTACACACTGCTAGTGTGAAAAGTTACACATGTCTTTGTACAACTTTGTAGGAAGGCCACATAACAATATACTGCAACTGTGTCAATTGATACAACAAAACCTGCGTAACTATTGGTGTATATACTTTCACGTAAAACTGTGTGTAGCAGCTTAACAAACATGTGCACAACTCACTCTTCAATAAAACATGAATTGTTAGAACCCTCAAATCCTACATTTGGGCATTTCATACTTATCTGTGAATAATATTAGTGAGAAAATAAGTTACTTGTGGACAAAAAAGGTTCCTTTTAAGTATTCGATTCATCAATACTAACCGACATTTCTAAAACTACTAGTAGTATATAAGGCCTTGACCAAAACGCGTTTTGTCCTCTAAAACAGCAGTCTGAATTAATACCTGTTCTATATATTCTTAACCAATCTAGTGGAAAATAGTCAACATAATTTACGTTTTTTCTTCCGACCAGCTTTTTCTGGAAAGAATATTCATGATTACTGTAATAATAAAAATTATTTTGTTGATTGTGATAGAGCAGCGGTTGTTTTGTATCAACTGCAGCTTCATTGATCGGAGCCTCACGTGACACTAGCACAGGAAGGGAAAGCGACGTTGCAATGAATGGAGGTAGCAGGCACTGACGAAATCAATATAATCTTCCCTAGTGGACATTCGCTCGTTCAGCAGATATCCAACAGCAGCGCCAAAAAGCCAAAGTAGGTTCCATTAGTTATCATTATCACCAATAACAGAAATAAAAGACGGGGCAGGGATTATAGTTAGCAAGACAGAATGAACTTGTGTTGATTTCGACATACTAATATTATCTCAAGTAACAAACATTATAATATCTTATTAAATAAATAAAACAGTCTAGGAAACAGCTAGTATTACGTTTTTCCACACACACATGTATATATATAATAAAAAAATCCCATGTTTTCCTCTCAGGTGATCCCTAACGTCTAGTGGTTTTCTCACAATATTAAAAATAGAAGATGCAACAATTTAAACCCACAGAAGACTTCTTTTAGTGGAGAAAAAAATGTCTGT